GTGTGTGGGGGGAACCAGCCTGCACAGGGTAAGTCCCGATGGGGCTCCTGGGCTCCTTCTGATGCATGAAAATTGGAGGTTGTCCTTTACAGCTCAGCTCCCCAAGGGGCTCAAAGCCTCCCAAGTCCATTATCAGTCGGAGACAAATGAGTGGAAGCTGGAAGAAAGGGGGAATCTTTATTTTTCTGTTGAAACAGAGCCCTCCTTCCCACTGACATTTGCAAGGAGGGGAGGACCCCAAACAAAGGTGTGCAGCAGCTTTGAAAGACTTTTCCGGCTCAACATCAGGAAGAGCTTTCTGACAATAAGAGCTGTTCAGACGGTCTCTGCTCCCTGGGAGAGGCTAGGTGGCCATCTGTCAGGGATGCTTGAGCTAAGATTCCTGCATTGCAGGGGGCTGGACTAGATGACCTTGGGGTCCCTTCTGTCTCTATGATTCTATGATTAGCATAATACAAGCATCTCAGGAAGAGGCATCTACCAACAGAAATCCAAGAGTGTGGCTTCTCTCCTGTCTGTCAAGGGACCTGCAGATGCTGATTGCCTTACTTGGCCAGTTCCTTAGGACTGGTACATACAGTCATACCTCGGGTTACAGATGCTTCAGCTTAAGCATTTTCAGGTTATGGATGCACTGAAACCCAGAAGTACCGGAATGGGTTACTTCCAGGTTTCGGCACTTGTGCATGCGCAGAAGCGCTAAATCACAACCTGTGTGTGCGCAGACGCAGCAATGTGAGTTGCGAACACTGCGGGTTGTGAACGTGCCTCCCACATGGATCACGTTCGCAACCCGAGCGTCCACTGTACCTTGGTTCTCGAACAGAATGCATTCCGGGAGTCCATTCGACTCCCGGAACCATTTGAAAACCAGAGTGCGGCTTCTGCCAGAGGAGCCCCCTGCAGCCAATCGGAAGCCGCACCGGATGTTCGCCCTCCAAAAATCATTTGAAAACCAGAACACTCACTTCCGGGTTTCGATTGTTCAGAAGCCGATTTGTTTGGGAGCCAAGGTGCTCGGCTTCTCAGGTACAACCGAACCTGAGTCCTTGGGGGCGCCACCTCCCCGGGCGGGAACGCTGCGGGTGCGCGAGGGAGGAGGGCGGCCCCCGGGGGCTGGGAGAGCCAGGCTGCCGTGGCCGAGAGGGCTGCTCTGCCGGGCGCCGCTGACATTGGAACTTAGAAAACTTCCCGGGGCAGGACCCCGGTATGGGCCCCCCCAATATTTTTTATAAGTCGGCGCCCCTGACAAGATGCCTTCCTCAGTGGGTTCAACTGTATGCTGCACTCTCCATTAGAGGTTTCTGAAAGCAAGTTCAGCTGCCAGGTGCCCCAAATTCAGTCCAGAGATCGAGAGTATCAAGGAAGTAACTAGAATCCATTTCCTGACTATTTCCCCTCTTCTTCCCTAGGTTTCATGGTCTGTGCAGGCTGCACGGGCTGCTGGCCGCCTGCTGTCATGCCCGTAAACTCCATCCCCTGGCCTGGGAGGAGAAGGTGAAATCAATTTATGTTCGACCAGGTGACCGGGGGATGGATGCCACCAATGCTGATACGGATGCTGAGTGTTGATCTTTGTTCATGAGGAACAGTGATACCAGAGAGAATCTGGCTCACTTGCGGGCAGGGAGGTGGGGAGGAGAAGCAGCACAGGACTCCAATACATCTCCATGCCTCTGTTCCACCCTTCCTTCAGCCAGCCTGCCAAGGTGGTCCTGACCTTCAGCCCCTCTACAGAGGTCTTATGATTTGCTCCTCCTTGTTCCTACAACACCTTGTCTAAAACCCTCCGTGTAAAATAACAACTTTTTCCCCAGTGTGACATCACACACACGTTGCCCTGGCAACTTGATGCTCAGTTACCCTTTTGACTTGTAGATTATTTTTGTGATGGGTTAGTAGCAGGGCCATCATCTCCCTCTGTCACTGGCGGAGGAAGGGGGTTGCAGGGGGTGCGGTTTGCCCCAGGTTTCATCCCTGAGGGAGGTGACATTGCCACCCCACCCCCGTGGGACGCTCGCCCCACCCCCAGGTGCACAGCAGCTAGCTCCGCCTGTGGCCAGTCCCACCAGCTAAAAAAAGGAACAGGAAAAACAGTGGTGATAGGAACAGTCTGTCCTAATGGGAGAACAACTAGCAAAAGAAAGCAATTTACATAAACAATTACAGTACCTTAAATATGCACCTTAAATATGGCACTTTCACTCATGACTAAAATCAGATTAGCAATATGTTTATGGAGTTTTATAAATATGTTTATAGAGTTTTATATAACCAAAATAACCCTTTACCTAAAATAATAATAATAATAATAATAATAATAATAATAATAGTGAAAAGACGTGGTATCAAACCTTTAACAAAGAAAGCGCCACAAAAGATAACATTCTGCAGAAGAATTGATCAAGCTGTTAACAAACTGAAGTACTGTATAATAAGAGGCATTGACCCGATGGGCTTGGCAACTCATTTTTTAAGAAATACAGAGACCTACTCACACTTTATATTTGTCAACTTTATTTATCCATCTGGCAAGAGGAATCAGTCACTGATACATAGTTGATCCAGAATAGCTGTCCTACTAAGGCCAGGCAGAGATAAAGCACAGGTGTGCTCATACAGGCCAATTACCAGATTATATTCTTCTCCATTGAAGTTGCACATTAAAAAGTAGTACTTAGAAATTTAATCCATATAGCCGAAATATACGCCTAGGGTTGCCCAAAGAGGGCCAGATTTGATGGAGTAAACATGTGTGAGGGCCGACCAGTTGCAGTTTTGCAGTTGTTGAGCTTTTTTATGATTTTACCCCCAAGTTGTTGAGCATTTTTAGAATTGAGGTTGTTGAGCTTTTAGGATTTTACCCCAGGAGATAGATGGCCACAGGGGCAGGATTAAACCAGAAGACCGTTTGTTGAATGTGATTCACAGTGCCTCACCAAACCATTCTTCTTGGCTTTATGTTCCTTAGGCACTCCTGTATACCCCTGTATATCCCCATTGTTCTGTCCAGACACTGAAGTCCAGCTCTGAGGGCCTTCTGGCGGTTCCCTCACTGCGAGAAGCAAAGTTACAGGGAACAGACAGAGGGCTTTCTCGGTAGTGGCACCCGCCCTGTAGAACGCCCTCCCACCAAATGTCAAAGAGAACAACAACTACCAGACCTTTAGAAGACATTTGAAGGCAGCCATGTTTAGGGAAGTTTTTAATATCTGATGAATTATTGTATTTTAATGTTTTGTTGGAAGCCGCCCAGAGTGGGCGCCCAGCTAGCTGGGCGGGGTATAAATAATATATTATAAATTATTATTATTATTATTATTATTATTATTATTATTATTATATTTACAAAGCCTTTGATGGTCTGGAATTCTGTTATCTCTTAACATTTTGCAGACATGACAACTAGGCAATCACCTTATTATAGCAATAGCTAAACTCTATTCAAATAATTCAGCTGCCCTAACAATAACAGACTCCTCAGCAATTGCAATCTGGAGGGGGACAAAACAAGGTTGTCCCTTGTCCCCACTGCTCCTCACCTTCTCTCTTGAACCATTCACTAATATCTTATGTCTTAATCCAAATGTAAAAGGATATTCGAGAGAGGGCAAAGAGCATCTGTTGACAATGTATGCAGATATTGTTGTGATGATGAAAGGCCCTAAGGGGTCAGCCTGTGCATTAAAGGAAGAATTAACATCCTTTTCTGAAGTGGCAGGTTTAAAAGTAAACATTGGAAAATCAATGCTGATGTTTTTCAGTCTTCCACCACTGATTCAAATACACACCTGTCATATTCTTAATACACCAATGTGCTGCTCTGCATTTAGAGACTTGGGTGTGCCAATTCTAAAAATCATGAACCATGAATCTAAACTGAGTTATCCCATTATTTTAAAAATAAACACGGACTTTTAAAAGTGGAACAAATTTACAGTTTCCATTTTAGGCTCTTGCAGCAGTACATATCATGTTAATTCCTTGTTTTCTGTTCCTCTTTCGGGTCCTCCCTACTTTTCTCCAACTTCCAAATGGCAAACTAAAATTGTTTCATATTTCAAGTTAAGTCTTCAAGGTTGCCCATGAAATCTTATTTTTATTTTTTTATTTTTAATGAAGGTGGTTGAGGTTTACCAAACCTCTCGGTATACCATGATGCATTCCAATAGACACAGCTAGGTTTCATGATTATGAAGGATGGTAAGAAATGGATCAGCTAGAAGAAAAACAAATAGGCCTAGGCCTGCTATGTGCTTTATCTTTCAAAAACCTTAATCCTTAAAATTACTGCCCAAATGAATAACCCATATTTACAAACTAAATTGAGGATATGGGAAAAATGGAAGTCGAATCTCCCCAGGTTGTTCACTGCTCAGTGCTCTGCAGGCATTTGCCAGTCTGAAAGATTATACTTGAAAAGCTAAAATAAGGAACAGGGTAAAATTGGGTTATTTCAGACTGTGATTTTTTTACAGGAGTAAGACCAGTAACTTTAAGTGTAAGTGTAAAAATGGGAATTAACTTTAAACAGGCTTCAAATTCTACACATTAAACATTTACTAAAGATTCTGATAAGTTAAACTACATGCAACTTCTTTTGAGTGATCCAAGGTGCCACTAGATAATGGGGATACCCAGGAAATAGTATCAAAAATTTATGGTCACTTAATATAGAACCAATTTGGGGACTCATCTAGCCTAAAATCAATATGGGAAAATGATCTAAAAGTAACAACGGAAGACTCAATTTGGAAAGGCATATGGACGAACAAACCCTTCAAGTCTGTCTGCAAATATTAAAGAACTTTCACTTAAAATCTTCCACAGATGGTATAGGACTCCATCCCAACATCACATCAGCTATAAGCCCCTAATATTGGTGTGGATATGATGCTAAGGGGACAAATATACATTTATGGTGGACTTGTTCCTGTATACAGGTTGTTTGGTCCCTGGTTCACATACATCTAACAGCAATAATAAAGAACACAATTGAATTCACTCCAGATCTTTTTATTTTAACAGTGTTCCAAGATACAAAACAAACAAAAAAACAAAAACAAAAAAAGTAGTATCTAAAGACCTCATCACTTTGGTGCAGTGTGGTGGGATTTTATACAGTACGTTATTAATACTAATTGAAGTTAGTTGATTCCAAAAGTAAATAAGAATGTTTGCCTATCCTGAGAATATAAGATGGTGTTGTCCTGTTTGTGGATAGAATACGGTGTATATTATTCAAGTTCTGTTGGCTGGATCTGTAGTTTCAGGGAGGGGCAGATCCTATGTGAGAAAGCAGAGGGATGCTAAGAGATTGCAGTGACCAGCCTCCTGGCCCAATGCAATACACTGCAAAAGTATTTCTGGCCCACCCTATGTCCACATAGCGTTGAAGCTCAGCCACTTGCTTCCAGGTAATTCCCCAAGAGGCCCTGATTCTTCATCGTCCGCCATCGGTCCTTGATCGCCACAGCCGTCCGGGTCTTAAAGGGGAATGCCTGGCAGATGGCTTTCCACCTCCCTTCCCCAAACTTCTTCACACCTTCCTTAATCCACTGAGACTCCTCTGAAGTCCAGATCTAGAAAGAAGAGGGCACAGGCTCTCGTGAGCAACCATCAAGACTTGCCCCCTGCCCCCATGACAGAACGACAGATACCCCACCCTCTGGAGATGGCTCCATGGCTGTTGCTAACAGAGGATTACCGCTGACATGGGCTGTAGCCCAGTGACTCACAGCAGGCAAAAATCTGGCCCATTTTTCGAGAGATTAAACCCAACTTGATGGCACACTCTCCACACTTAGTTCTCCTTCTGCAAAATGTGGGTAATAAAATTCAGCCACCTTACAGTGTGGTTCAAGAGGCTATCAAAGATAGCAGATATGACGTGCTGAGATTGCCCAGGCTTCTTGGAAACATCTGGGTATCCAAGACTCTTGATCAGTGATGGCCAAACTTGGCCCTCCGGCTGTTTTGGGATTACAACTCCCATTATCCCTAGCTAACAGGACCAGTGGTCAGGGATGATGGGAATTGTACTCCCAAAACAGCTGGAGGGCCAAGTCTGGCCCTCACTGCCCTTGATTAATTAACTAGGAGATGCCCCTTAGTCCCGTGGTTGAACACGCAGAAGATCCCAGCTTCAAACCTGTGACATATCCAGGCAGAGCTGCGAAAGAGACACCTTGCCTGAAAGCAATAATGAGCTAGATGGACCAGGATTCAGCATATGGCAGCTTCCTATGTTCCCATTAATGGGGATTTCATCAGTTACTTCATTTGGGAGAGGGGGTCCTCATCAACTGGCCTCCATTTAGAGGGGTCTTATCAAGGCAGACCTATCTGTCCTCACTGGTGTGCTCAGCTCCAGACTGGGTGTAGGCTTGGTTACCTTCCTTTTAGAACCCAAGGCGGAAGTGCTGCTGCTGCTGCTGCTGCTGCTGCTGCTGCTGCTGCTGTTGCTGCTGCTTTTTCCCTTCGATCCTGAAACACAAATTCAGGATGCATGGAACCACTCAGTAAGCTGGTTATTGCTACTGGCTCAGTAATTGGGAGGTTTTACCACTACTGTCCCTCATCAGAAATCCAGGGTAGTGGTCAATTTCTACCCAGCCCTTGGCAGCATGATGCGTAGGCAGCCAACTACTGATGAAACTACGTTGGGGTTGCCAGACATGCCAGATATGTCCTCTTTTATTACCGTATATACTCGAGTATAAGCCGACCCGAATATAAGCTGAGGCACCTAATTACAGCACATAAAACTGGGAAAACTTATTGACTCAAGTATAAGCCGGTTCACCACACAACAAAACTGGTGGTGACGGCAGCGGTGGAAGAAGAACAATCAGCCCCAAAGGGCTGCTTTCGGGCTGCTTGTTCCTCCACCGCCAACAGCGGCAAAGGCGGAGGAGGAGGAAGGAGCAGCCTGAAAGGGCTCCTTTCAGGCCGCTTGTCCCTCTGCCGCCACCTCTGCCGCTCGCAAGAGCAGGCATAGGAGCCGTGATTAGGAGAGGCACAGCGCAGCACCTCTCCCAACCCCAGCTCCTGTGCCTGCCCTTGCAAGAGGCGGGCGGGACCAGCGGCTAGAAAGGGCTCTTTTCGGGCCACTCATCCCTCCGCCACCACCGCACTCGATTATAAGCCAAGGGGGGCTTTTTCAGCATAAAAAATGTGCTGAAAAAGTCGGATTATACTCGAGTATATACAGTAAATGAAAGCTTGGCCGACTCTATTCACCACTGCTGCTGCCAGCCCAAGCTGGGAAAAGAGGCACATGGGTGCGCTTCTTTCCCTGGCTCAGGCTGTCCTCTTTTTTGCTCTTCAAGATATGTGCACAGAGCCATGGTTGAGCATCCTGCAGAACAAGAAGCCAGTCTGAGGCAAAAGGCAATGATTTTGTCCGTGCTGCTGCTGTGCACTTGGAGCAGGCAGTCCAAATGTTTTACTTTTTTGAGCCAAGAGCTGTACCCCAAAACCCCTCTGCTTACTGTGTACAGGATACTAGCTGCTTCACCAGGTTCCAAATCTATGGAGCAGACAATGGGAACTCCAAGCTTCTGGCATTCTGACATTCAGAGGAGAGCCTCAGCTGCTTGGCCGCTTTGCTCTTTTGAGAGTAGCTTTGCTATATTTCTGCAATAGCAGCCTTGGGGCAAAGAAACCTTGATCATGCCAAGCACCCAAAACTGAGCAAGCAGATTCAAACAGTTGCTGCTTACCCAGGTGTCGGGGGTCTCTGGTGGTCTCTGGCCGGTCCCGGTCCCTATGAACCTCTTCACCACCTGGGAGATCCTCTTCTTCATTCTGATCTGGACAAATTAGTCTCCTCTTAGCTAATCTGAATGGAACAGGGAAACACAAGTGAGGAAAGACTTACCCCACAAGGAGATGGGACAGGACTGAGCTGCATCAGTTAATGTCACACATAACCAACATTATGGAGATGCTGAGTTTAAGTATCAGACAAGGAGGGAGGTTAATGTGTCACAGCAAACACACTACTGCAGAGACCTATGACAGTTTTAATAGGAGCAAATAGCTGGTGGCAGAAACCTAAACCCTGATCCTTGAAACTGACGGAAGGAGGGGGGGGAGAGAAATAACATTTTCTACCTTTTGTCTGGCAACTGAAGCTAACATTCCAGGCATGTGACAAAGCAGAGTCTGGCCCAGGTGTTTCTGCCACAATAAATTTGTTTAGCAGTCTTTAATGGGGCCAGAGACCATATTGTCAATTCTGCTGTCTTTGCAATCTGAGTAATAAAGATGAAGACAAGGTATGTGAACCTGATTCTCTCGCAACCTGATTCTACTAGCTGGGGGAGAAGATGCACAGCAATGCAACCCTACCACTGCAAACCACCTTTGCCTTCCTTGGAGCTTCTGGGCTGAGGCCTAAGGCCTTCGAATGGATTCGTTGCAAAGGGGAAAGTGGCACCAAATGCTTCATGCTGTGCCAGCTCCCCAGCAGACCTCACAGCAGTCATGGACTCTTACCTGGGAGATTGGGGGTATCATCAGGCTGGGTGGGTATTTGGGGCTGTGCTGTCTGGACATCCAAAGTTGCCGCAGGCCTCTTGGATGAAACTTGGCAGGAAGTTGGGGGGTTCCCGCTCTCTGGCCCCATAATCAGTGTGCTTAGGGACCCTGAGCATTCACTAGGGTGTGGCCTGGAGGCAGCATGGTTCTCCTCCTCCCTTTGGCACTTGGCTGCGTGGAAATCAGAAGCCAAACATGGATGCGAGGCCATCCTCTTAGGCGAGCATCTGCAAAAGAAAGAAACCTCAGCAGGTTGCTCCACAAGTTTTGCCAGTTTATGTTGTTGACCTCACCCCAAAGACCTTGCTCCCCTGGCAGCAGGTGCAATTTGAGTTGGAGTGCTGAGAGCCAGAAGTTGTATGGCAAAAGAGCTGCCCAGCATGGCCAAGGAGTCAAAACTGGAAGAGGCCATAGGCTGCTAACCTGTCCGTGTCACTGGAAGCTGCTGAGACAGTGGCATCAGCGACTAGAGCAAGCTCTGCAGCTCCACTGGTTTCTTCTTCTGGCTTTGAAGCTGCCTGGCACTCATCAACCACTTTAGCAACTTCCAAAACAGCTCCCTTTGCAAAAGCCTTGCAACTGTCTCACGGCCTCCCTCCAGAGACTTTGGCTCTTCTTCCACTGTATTGCTAAGCCCTCCCTCAGGCCTGGGCTCTTCCAAAGTCTCATCAGATCTTCCCACAGATTCAGGCTTATCTGCTGCTGCTGCCAACTCTGAGGTTTCTTCCACCATTTCCCCCTTGCTGGCCATTTCCAAAGGATTGAGCCCGGTCTCCATCTGATCGTCCAAATCCATTTTTGCAATCTTAAACAGAGAGTGTGAACACAGTTACTTTCTTTTTCTTTTTCTACTTCTATAGAGCAGCCATGCCCAAGCTGGTGCCCTGAAGATGCTTTACCTACAACTCCCCTAAGCCCCAGGCAGCACAGCCTCAGGATGCTGGAGCTGTTGGGTATTGCTAGTCCAAAACATTGTCAGGTTACAAGCTTGATATATGTCTAATGTGACATTGCAGCCCTGTTCTGTTCTGCAGTGGGGCACTTTGCTCTTCACAAAAATATTTCCCAAACACATAATAGTTAGTCCAGAGAAAAAGCTGGCTCACATAGTTTTCCATCACCACACGTTGAGCGACAGTGGCTCTCCAGGGTTCCAAGCAGGGTACATTCCCAGTCCTAGCTAGAGATGTCAGGGATTGAACTTGGGACCCTCTGCATGCAAAGCAGATGCTCGGCTACTGAGCTATAGTCCTCCCACTACTACAACAATCAAACAACCCCCCATGCCCTTGCTTACCTCTAACAGAAAGGGCTCAGGGACACTCCAGCAGCTTTCTAAAGACAGAAGGATTCTCTGCTGGAAAACTTTGTCAGAGAAGTTCAAGATGGCTGGATGACTTAAGTTTTTCCTTTGGATGATTCTCTGCAACATTGACCTCATTTTCTAAGAAAAGGGAAATGTTTTTCAGAACTTGCAAGCAAATTGCAGCGCAGGGCAGAGATAAAAGCAATTTTTGCAGTCATTAGACGTTTAAACAAAACAAGCCAAACCACAAGAGCAGTCTAGGTAATGTCACTAATGCATGAAAGTAATGATGACTAGAGCACAATCGGTAGCAACATGTGCTGCTTGCAGATATAATTTTTCTCATTACGTAAAGAGGAAAATAAACTCCTAAGTATTTAAGACACTCACTGAATTGGAGAATGTGGGAAGGACAAACCATGACTCTGCTTTGTAGTGAAATGACCCTACAAGAGGCACATTTCAACAACAACAATTGCAACATGAACTCATACCTGCTGAAAGCTCACCTGGGAACTTGGGTCCTTTGTCATGTGTTTATTCAAGATCATTCTGGCTTGTCCATATTTTTTGTTTTTTATGCTGGTTATGACAGCCTGAAGAAGAAAGACAAAATAATGGTTTGCAAGGAAGACTTTGGGGGAATGTTCCTACTGTTTGGGAGCAACTCCCCGGCAGTTTTCTAGATCTGCTTTACATTTTCAACTCAGTGGGTTTTCATTGTGTAATATTAGATCACTTATTCAAGAAAATTATTTTTACATTCAAGTAAGGCAAGCTACTTAAATATCTGTAGGCTAACAACATTGGAATAATGTATGTCTTAGGAGAGTCAGTCAAGAAGCCAATTTTTCCTGGATTACCCTGGATTTCCCGAAGAAGGAAAACATGCTGAGTTCCAATAAACTCAGGCACCTTTGAGCATATATTTCTCTCTCATTTCATCCCACCTTATAGGAATCTTGCCTCCTTGCTTCTACTAACTTTTGTGAACTTATTGAAAAGCTTAATTTAAGCATGGATAAAAATAGGCAAGAGTTAATCCTGGCATTAAATTAGAACCTTAATTAAACCCTTTCTGAAATATACTGCATTTTGAAACTTAAAGACAGCTGTCCTCATACTTTCTAACTAGGCTGAGAAACAGTCATCAGTGCCTACAGAAGAGGAAATGCTAACACTTACCGCTTCCTTTATCTTTTGTCTTATTTCTTCTACCTCAATTTTTAAGTCCAGTTCATCCTTCATCTTATCCAAAATAACAAGGGCATCTTCAAGAGGCATTAACTTGGTCTCGGGATCAATGGTCCAATCTTCATCAATCTTAGACAGAAACTGCACCATCTGCAGCTGAATGCCAATACATTTCTCTTCTGCTAGGGGCTGTGCAAGCACAGCTGGAGAAGAACAAGACAGTCCAAACAGTCACTGAGCAAAATCAGATAGTTCAGCAAATCAGGTGTAATGAGGCTTGGGCCAGGGCACCAAAGCCCTGTCCCATACCTTATACCCCTGACCATATACAGACAGCCAACTTCATCCCAACATGCCCTTTGGCCCAGGAGTCACTGCGCATTTGCTTGCTTTTTGTGTGTAATCTACAATATTCTTAGTATCCATATATACACAAACACATGGCTTTCTAGTGTCTTCATCTTTGTGGTCAGATATTTTGTTGGGGCTCCTGTTTTGTAGGGCAGAAATGCAGTATGTACAGATTTTATTTACAGACATACAGAAATAATTACTGTAAGAAAATGGGTGGTAAAGTAGTTGAGCTTCTTAAAACTATACTCCAAAGGTGCTAGGCCATTCCTAGCGGTTGGCTTTTGGAAACCATCACACTCAACTACAGGCCATACCCAAAACTCATTAAACTCATTCTCTTAATATACGCATCAACATTCTCCAATTTGAAATAGATTTCAAGAGGGCGCTGAAGTTTTCAGGTACAGTGGTACCTCGGTTTAAGAACAGTCCTGTTTAAGAACGATTTGGTTTATGAACTCCACAAAACTGGAAATAGTGTCTCAGTTTGAGAACTTTACCTCAGTCTAAGAACGGAATATGAACGGTGGAAGGGCACCGGCGGCTCAAGGTCTCATTAGGGAAGGTGCACCTCGGTTTAAGAACCATTTCGGTTTAAGAACGGACTTCCAGAATGGATTAAGTTCATAAATCGAGGTACCACTGTACTTAGGAGGCTAAGGGTGGGTGGGGGGATCCTCACTCTTCTCGTGACCATCTGTGATGGGCTTTAGGAGGCATTCATTTAAGGGGGCATGTATCCTAACCATCTTGCTGAGAATCACAACTGGCTGTTTTCAGACCTTCCTTTTGGGTTCTGTGCTCTTGGTTAGTTGTACGTTGTGCCTTTTCTTTTAAAATCGGTTCCCTTAATTTCTAAAGGCAAATGACAAACATTCCAGGGATATAGATTGTATTATATTTTAAGTTGCTTTAGGTTCACTCTTTCTTAAATGAAAACACCTAATGACTATTAAATGTGACTATTAAATGTGACTATTAAATACGTAATAGTGACATAAGTGGAACCGGGGCTATTAGGCAATATATTTTAATGTTTGATGTTTTAGTATGTTCTGATTTACTGTATGCTGTGAGCCGTCCAGAGCGGCTGAGGAAACCCAGCCACATGGGCGGGGTATAAATGATAAAATTATTATTATTATTATTATTAGTTATTTACATTCACGTTCCTCAGCAGGAAGTACAGTGGTACCTCGGGTTACATACGCTTCAGGTTACAGACTCCGCTAACCCAGAAATAGTGCTTCAGGTTAAGAACGTTGCTTCAGGATGAGAACAGAATTGTGCTCCGGCGGCGCGGCGGCAGCAGGAGGCCCCATTAGCTCAAGTGGTGCTTCAGGTTAAGAACAGTTTCAGGTTAAGCACGGACCTCCGGAACGAATTAAGTCCCCGAGGTACCACTGTACCTTGAGAATTCTTTCACCCAGCGCCAATCTTCCCCAAATGCCCCTTTCGTAAAACTAGCTGGTCTCCTCACCATAGACGACGTCCCGCAGCTGGCGAAAGTCCCGGCTGCGGCCGGCCCGGAAAGCCTGAAGGGCCTGGTGGACGTAGAAGGGGACCGTCCAGCGGTTCACCGCCTCCTCGAGGGCCTTTTCGCGAGCCTCCGCGGCTCCTTCGGGCGCTCCGCAGCCACCCTCCTCCATCTTCCCTCCTACCGTGCGCCAACACGCCGGGAAGGGGGCGTAGTGCAAGTTGCGCCCTTTAAGGAGTCCTGCCCCTGACGTGGTCGGTGGGCGAGGCAGGAGGGCGTCGGGGGGACCGCCGAGAGCATCGCTGGCTCAGAGCCCGGGACCCTGGAGTCTCAGCGCACCCCGGTCCCAGCGGGGCTCTTGGCTCGCTCCTCTGCCTGGAGGCCCCCAAAGCGCAGAGGGTGGAAGGGAAGGCGATGGGCAGCGCGCTGCTTGCCCAGGGAAATCCTACACGTGGTGATTTGAGCCCTTAAAGGAAACGAATTCCTTCCTCCATGTCCAGGTCTTCCAACAGTGTTCCCCATCTTCAATTTGGGCATCCACTTAGTCCTGTACTGAGAATCATCTTCCCTGCCTCTTCCACTCGGTCTACAGAAACGTCACACCCTGGAGATTTGCTTTGTGTGGTTTGCTATACTGCCCTTTCTCTTCCTGAGAGTCAGGAGTGGAGTTTCAAGACAGCCCTGGGAAGTAGGCTAGGGCAAGGCTTGCCTGAGGCTACCCAATAAAGGTTGCCCTCCCCTCCACATTGATTTTCCAAATACTCTTTCCTCCTCTGGAGGAGCAAATCCTGCATTTCAAAGGGTTGGACTTGATGATCCTTGAGGAACCCTTGCAACTCTGCAAGTCTATTAAATCAAGGGGGCAGCCGGGCAGCTTCCCACAGACATCAGACAGAGAAATCAGACATGGGGAGGATAGAGGACGGAGCATAGCAGCCTCGAAAATAAGGGATCAGCAAAATAGCTGTCAACTTTCGGATTTGAAAATAAGGGATCAGCAGCCTCACCTGTCCCGGGGACAGTCTACGGGATATCGAACAATCCGGGATAGCAGCGGGAAAGGGCGGGAAACGGCGCTCAAATAAGGGAATTTCCCGCAAAAAAAAAGGAAAGGTTGACAGCTATGGGACGGAGCACGAGGGCACTGGCTAAGGAAGGGAATGCGCCCCCGGTATCATCCCTGAGGTGGGGGTGACATCGCCGCCGGGCCCCCCTAGGATGCTCGCCGCGAGTGGCACCGCCCCCGTGGGACTGTCGCGGCAGGCGGTGCCGCCCCCGTGCTCGCCACTCCGCCCCTCTGGGACGATCGCCCCACCCCCGGGTGCACAGCATGTGCGCTGCTCTGGGTACCAGCTCCGCCTCTGCACTCATATATCCCCAGTGGAACCACACCTCCATGCCCCTGATATTTAGTTGCAGGTAGATATTTAGTTGATATTTAGTTGCAGGTAGATATTTAGTTGATATTTAGTTGCTGGTAGATATTTAGTTGATATTTAGTTGCTGGTAGATATTTAGTTGATATTTAGTTGCCGTGTTGGTCTACCGTAGTCGAAAGAAAAGAAAAGAAATCCTTCCAGTAGCGCCTTAGAGACCAACTAAGTTTGTTATTGGTATGATCTTTAGCTTGCATGCATACTTCTTCAGGTACACTCAATACAGTGGTACCTCGGGTTACAGACGCGTCAGGTTACAGACTCCGCTAACCAGAAATAGTACGTTGCTTCAGGATGAGAGCAGAAATCGTGGGGGGGGGGGGGGTGGCGCGGCGGCAGCGGGAGGCCCCATTAGCTAAAGTGGTACCTCAGGTTAAGAACACTTTCAGGTTAAGAACGGACCTCTGGATCGAATTAAGTTCTTAACCCGAGGTACCACTGTATTTAGATAACATTATTTATAACATTTAGATAACATTAGGTTAGGAACAACTTTTACAAGGGGTAGAAACATTACAGAGAGGTTTTCCTAGCTGACCAAGACGGAAATAGTGTTAATCCTTGGGATGGGGAGGAAACAGGCAATCCATTTTTATCTACCCCTTTACTGCTGATTCTTGGTCAGGCATTTTTCCTTCCATACCTTTTGATCCATATGTTTTTTTTCCAGATTCCAGACTGTTCCGGATTTGATTGCAGTTTATTACTACTTTAATTAATTAATTAATTCATTCATTCATTTTCTAAATACAGCCTTTCATCCAAAGATCACATGATGGTTCAAGACATAAAAGTTTTTCGGGTCCCTTGGGGTTTGGACATTTGACAGAGGACTCCTGTTACTGGACTCTTGGCACCTCCAAATCTTCCTGTTGGATATTTGTTGGCAAAGGGTTGCTCCAGCAGATTGTATTCATACATTGGTCATTGAAAGAAAGGAAGGAAAAAAACAGGACTATATGAGGACAACCCCAACCCCAAACCCTGCTCACCATTTTTAGTTTGCTTGGACAGAGCATAAACCAATTCCATAATTCCATATTATGATATCTCAACATTAGGTACGAATGGGATGGCGTGCTCCTTACTCAGGTCCTCGCTGTTTGCTCCAACTGAGTTCTTGAGAGCGCTTTCGGGGGGGCCGGGGGGGAGTGGGAAAAGAGGAAATATAGATATGTATCAAGAGTAAAGCAGCCCGAGAGCGCGGCTGACATATGTCCGGATTTTCCCGTACACACACACACGGGATACGAAAATAGCAACCGGGGGGGGGGTGTTTTAGGAAACGCAAAAAATGCTGTGCCCTGCCGCTACCTTTCCTCCCGAGACTCCTCCCTCCAGGCCAGATCTCCGCTGTGCCAGGAAGCCTGGCTCTCTGGGAACGTAGTGCCAGCTGGAGCTGCGTCAGCATCGTAGGATCCCTTAGGCAGCCTTGTCAAAATCAGGCAGGCGTCGGGAAGGAGTTCCTAGTCCACAGGCAAAGGTGTTTACACAAAAGGGGCAAGGCGTGGGTGGCTTAAGGTGTTTCTGGGCATTGTGCAAAAAATACATAAGTATCTCTTTCATAAGTATGCTAACTCCTGAGAGAGAGAGAGAGAGAGAGAGAGAGAGAGAATGAGCCCTATTCCAGGACTACTGTCGTGGGTTTATTTTGGCGTTTCCGCTAAAAAATGCTCAACAACTTTCGTGGTGTCCTGGTTTTTACCTTTCGGAATATAGCAACCCTGTCCAAGAGCTACAAACCAAGGAGGCCCAACATATTGGTATCAAAATAGATTCAACAGAGTACAGATCTAGATCTGTGTTAATTATTTGTTGGGAAATCTGGAGACTTACACATAGTGGGGCTTAGGTTAATTCAGAGTAGAGAGATACCTGCGGATTGGCCAGCATCTACTGATGTATTGGTAGAGTTCCTACTCCTGAAATAAATGAATTAAGAGGGATTGATGGTTCTACAATAAAGGAAGTCATTTCACTGCCTGGACATCTGGAATGAAGACTCGAAGAGACAGGGCTTTAGTAAAAAAAGAAAAAAGGTAAAGGACCCATGACAGTTAAGTCCAGTCGCAGACAACTCTGGGATTGCGGCACTCATCTCGCTTTACAGGCCGAGGGAGCCGGTTCTTTTTATTCCATTGTAATTTGACTATCCTCAACAAACAGTAGCGAACTATTATTTTATTAAAAATAATAATTTTTAAATGATTTTAAAAATGTATAAACAAAACAGTAAGTTTTCCTCGTTCTCCATCCTCCCACCCCTGAACAGAAGACTTACCATATACCATATTTTTTGCACCATAACACTCACTTTTTTCCCTCCTAGAAAGTAAGGGGAAATGTCTGTGCGTGTTATGGAGGAAATGCCTACGGGTGGCATGCCTACGGATTTTCCTCCTCTAAAAACTATGTGTGTGTTATGGTCGGGTGCGTGTTATAGAGCGAAAAATACGGTATATATAAGATTTTGCCATACGTCCATGTGTGTGGTCGGTGGCTGCCTGTCATCAGGATGTTCATTTGAATATTTTATGGTGAGATACCAAATAAAATGTCTGCATCAGCTGTATTGTTCAATGCATGTACCCTCTTCATTAGTTTTTCAGTTAGGGTAATTGTTCTTACATTCTCTCTCCATGGTGTGATATGCAGATGTTTCTTCCAATTCTGTGTTATAAGTAATAGTGTGGCCACCAGAAGGAAAATAATGATCCTTATATAAGAAAGCAAGTTGGTCTTCCTTAAAAATTGTTAATAACCCAAACTTTGATTACACAGCACTTTCTGATTTCTAATATTGCTTCAGTGAATAGGTAAAGGGACCCCTGACCATTAGGTCCAGTCCTGGCTGGGGTTGCGGCGCTCATCTCGCTTTACTGGCCTTGGGAGCCGGCGTACAGCTTCCGGGTCATGTGGCCAGCATGACTAAGCCGCTTCTGGCGAACCAGAGCAGTGCAAGGAAACGCCGTTTACCTTCCCGTCGGAGTGGTACCTATTTATCGACTTGCACTTTGACGTGCTTTCAAACTGCTAGGTTGGCAGGAGGCTTCAGTGAATATTCCTCCCCATAATGTCCACCTTATAGGGAATGTTGTACCAGTTGCTCTGCATCTCTCCAGTATGCTGGCAAATATGTTTTGTCTATGTAAATGTCTTAAGGGTGTTTAGATGCCATCTGCCATCTGTGAATTAACTTGACTGAGTTTTCTCTAAGCCTTTTTCTTTACATTTCACAGTTAGATTTCTTTCTTTCTTTTAAATAATGTTTTCATTTATTTTTCATGGTACAGAAGATACATTTTGAGAAAACAATTTCCAACAGTAAACAACAAATAACTTGTCCTGATAAAATTACAGACTTTTGTCATGCTATGTAATAAAGTTGCATTTGATTGCTCCAAAAAAATCATGCCACATTTTCCCATGAGTGTTGGGTGGATTCCTGCCACAGTCAGAACAAGATATGTGTTCAATAAACATTTGCCCTATGTTATGAAAGGAATAGGGATTGTGTTTGCCACTTGGCCCTGACATGTTGTTTCTCTGCCAATGTGACTGAAGGAGCGTTTCCAGCCCCATCATTCATCCCGGACACTGAGGTCCTCCTAGGGTCTTCTGGTGGTTTCCTCACTGTGAGAAGTGAAGTTACAGGGAACCTGGCAAAGGGCCTTCTCAGCGGTAGCACCCTCCCTGTGGAATGCCCTCCCTTCAGATGTAAAGGAGATAAAGAACTACACAATTTTTAGAAGTCCTCTGAAAGCAGTCCTGTATTGGGAAGTTTTTTTATTTGATGATTTATTATGCTTTTATATCCTCCTGGAAGCCTCCCAGAGTGGCTGGGGAAACCCAGCCAAATGGGCATGTCCTATTATTATTATTATTATTATTATTATTATTATTATTATTAACCATACTCTGGTACACCAAGAATCAGTGTTCATCCCAACACCAGTTTTCCAACATCTGGCTATCTCCATATAGCCAGCTGTCAACATAATGGCTAATTACGGTGGTACCTCGGGTTACATAGGCTTCAGGTTACAGACGCTTCAGGTTACAGACTCCGCTAGCCCAGAAATAGTACCTTGGTTTAAGAACTTTGCTTCAGGATGAGAACAGAAATTGCATGGCGGTGGTATGGCGGCAGGAGGCCCCATTAGCTAAAGTGGTGCTTCAGGTTAAGAACAGTTTCAGGTTAAGAACGGTCCTCCAGAATGAATTAAGTTCTTAACCTTAGGTACCACTGTATTAGGGTAGTCTTGAGCGGGTGGGATCATAAGCCCAAGTAGTGCTAGTGCAGGAGACATTTCAATTGTTTTGTTATCTATAATTCCACCCTCATTTGGGCCAGGACATGCCATATTTACACCAGCTTTACAATTTCCCTCGCAAGATTCAACGTCTTACTATCTGCAGTTTTGCAAGGTAGATTTTAGAAAAACCCCTACTCTGAAAGATACAATACTGCCCTTTCGGCACAAAACAGGTCGAATCCATCACACATGTTTTGTTTTATTTCCCATTCTGTGCAAAAATATATGATAAGTATTTGGGCCCCTTA